GCAAGTCAGATTTCTATAAAGTATTCAGAAACATAGTCCTGTTTAAAAAAAGTAAGCACTCTGATCCTACTGAACCAATTATTTTCCCCATTTTAGGTATATTTTATAATAGCAAGTTCATTTATAATTTGAATACTTAGAACACTTCCTAAGTAAAAACAATTGTTACTTCTCCATTCTTTAAGGTTTTTATAACTTTATCACTTTTAGGAAGACTTCTTTAAATACTGAACAGCTATAAGAAATATCTTTGCACACTGTTATTGGGAAGGTAAACTGGTACAGCCGGTATGCAAAACAGTACAGAGGAACCTCAAAAATATTACAAATAGAACTACCATATGATCCAGCAATCCCACGTCTGGGTATATTCCCAAAGGAAATGAAAAGAGGATCTCAAAGAGATTCCATGTTCATTACAGCACTATTTCACACTAGCCAGGACAAGAAAACAACTTAAGTGTCTATCAATGTATAAATGAATAAAAAAAATGTGGCATACAATACAATGAAGTATTATTCAGCCATTAAAAAAGAAAAGAAATCCTGCCATTTAGGACAACATGGATGAACCTTCAGGATATTCTGCTAAGTGAAATAAGTCAGAAAGAGAAAGACAAATACTGGATGATATCACTTATATGTGTTATCTAAAAGAGAACTCAGAGAAACGGAGACTAGAATGTTGGTTTCTGGGGCTACGGAGTAGGGGGAATGGGGAGATGCTGGACAAAGGGCACAAACTTCCAATTATAAGATGAGTAAGTTCTGGGACTCTATAACGTACAGCGGGGCGATTACAGTTAATAATACTGTATTATATATTTGAAAGGTGCTAAGAGAGATCTTAAATGTTCTCACCATTTAAAAAAAGGGGGGTAATTATGTGATATGATAGAGTCATTATCTAAAGTACTAGTGATTATCATTTCACAGTATGTGTGTCAAATCAACTCATTGTACACCTCAAACTTACACAATGTTATATGCCACGTATATCTTTTTTTTTTTATGTTTATTTATTTGTGAGAGAGAGAGAGAGACAGAGTGTAAGTGGGGGGAGGGGCAGAGAGAGAGGGAGACACAGAATCTGAAACAGGCTCCAGGCTCCGAGCTGTCAGCACAGAGCCCCATGTGGGGCTCAAACCCACAGACCGCGAGATCATGACCTGAGCCGAAGTCAGACACTTAACTGACTGAGCCACCCAGGCACCCCTATGCCAAGTATATCTTAATAAAGCTGGGAAAAAATACTTCCTATCACAAGACAATGTTAGTTCACTTTCTTTACCTTATTATTTCTTTTAAGCCCCCAGACCTCCAGTGGAAATCATTTAGAGTTTTGATTAAAGTTTCTATTAGAGTTTCAATTTTGATTATCTACAGATATTCCACCCCAAAATTTTAGCATATACAAAGACTTGTTTCCACATTTCATCTAAAATTACATAATACTGGGCATCTATTTAAGGGATGAGGTTAGTGGGTCTCTAAAAAGAGAATGAAGTTTTAGCACACACAGTTTTACAAAGGAAGTACAATATTATAAGCAAAGTGATGAGTCAGGTTGTGTTCTTTGGTTAGTTACATAAGCAAAATCATATAATCAAGTATCAGCCAAGTCATAACTTCCACTAGTAACCTTCTTATTCATGGATCATGCTGACAGAGTTAATACTATGCTAGGGGTCTGCTCTAAGATTTATGTATTAAGAATAGGTTCTTTGTTTTTGTGTGTGTGTGTGTGTTTTTTAATTTAGATAAATTTGACTGAGTGCTATTTTTACTCACTACCTAAAGAGGTGTTAACACAGACAGACCTCATGCCAATATGGTATTGAAAAAAAGAGCACCAACCTGGGAACAAAATGTTAATTACAGTTTGAATTTCTTGTTAAGTAACATAACACCTCTGAATCTCAGTTTACTTATTTTCTGATGTCAAATGAAGAAAATGTTCAAAGTATACTTTATAGCATTTTTGTATTAAAAGAGATAGTAATTAGTATTACTGATTTCACTTTTAGTGAGAGTCCTAGATAAAAAATTATCATGTTGTTTATTGAAATATTCATAATTTCAAAGAAACATCACCATGGCTTAAAGCTTCAAAGTGTATTAAATAAAAACTTAATAAACAACAGTAATTATATATACACACAGAGTTTAATAAATTATTATATTTTTCCTTTCCAACAAGCATAAATTACATCCCTGCATCTACATCTAATGTGTCAAGGGAAATAAATTATATAACTTAGTCTCCAAAACATCAATTCACAAAACCATAAGCTCTTCAGCTTTTTCTATAAAAATTCTGACTCAAAGAGTCCTCAAATTGATTATAATGCTTAAAAGTATAATAGTTCAAAGAAAAACATTAGACCATTTTTAAAAGCAAAGGTTAAGAAATTTTAAGTTCTTATAAGTTTACAAATCATATGTACTTACAATTCTTGCATAAAATCTCCATGAAATGGTACTGTCCCTTTGGCTATTTACTCTTCGAAAATGCTAAACCAACTGTCCTGTTCTATTACTGACTCTACTGTTTATCATGTGTGTTAAGTGCCAGGCACTTCATACCTCTGGCAAATATGTAAAAGGAGGAATTTACCGGTCTTTCAACATCATTCCGGGAATGATCATGTAACGTTTTCACAGGTCCTTTTTCTAAAGGGAAGGTGTCTTACACAGTAGTTATAAAAAGTAGCTCCTTATTTAGCAGTTTAAAAACTAGAGAATTCAATATTTTTATCTGTTTTTTATAAAATTATAAATTCTTACCAATTCTCAACATACACAATTTCTCTTAAATTTTTAAGCAACATCTCACTAGATAATTTAATCTTTAGGTGCCAGTGCCAAGAAACATATATAGAATATTTAAGAAAAATCTTAAAATTACTTGTAAGGTGACAATCTGAAGAAAGCTGGGTAAATACAAATAAAATTCAGAGAAAAGATCAGGTATTTAATTTTGTAAACAGGGAAAGGAAACAGGCATATTTCCTGCAGAGGCTAAGACTTCTCCCAGTTGGTTCAAGGCAAACACCATTTCTCATCATAAAAACCCCAATACAGACAATGGAAGCTGAAACTTGACTTACATGGCTTTACCCCCTTTACCAGTCTGGGAGACTATAGCCCTAATGTGAATGGAGGAGCATCTGAAAGGCTAGATTTTATAGTCAGCCCTTTTTCAAATCAAAGGTCATCTTCGTGACAATTCAATTTTTTTTAGGATGTTCAAAATCAAATACAGATTATTCAAATAAGAGCAACAGAAACTTTGATCCAAAATTACATGTCCCCTTATTTTCACTCACGGAAACATTATTTCTTCTTCCACATGTGCAGTATTGACTTGGATGCAAGTTACAGCCTCAAATAAACCAAGGACTTCCACTGGAATTCCTTTATAGTCTTAAATGGGACTCAACCGTCTCCAAAAGAGCTGTATTTTTCACCTACATCCCTCTCCACAACAAAACCTCTTTAAAAGGGCGTCTATAGCTTTTATGTCTAATTCCTTACCTCCTACTGGCTGGCAGTCCACTAACCTCATAGGAGTCCACTCCTATCTGGCTGGCACCCCCTAACCTTGCTGATATTGTCTTATATTTTTATTATCACCCAATCCCCTCATGTTGCTCTGGATTTTGAAGAACAGACCTCCTCTCTATTCTTATCTCACTTGACTTCTTAGCATTACTTTAAACATCCGATATCACCAATCCCGAAATCCTTCCCTGGAAGTAGATTCCTACATATCATACCTTCTGGTTTGCCAAGAAAGTCCCAATTTGCCTCTGTTGTCCCTGCTTTAGTATAGTAGTTGGGTTTTACTAAATCCCACCACACCCCTGTTGCACTTTCAAAGGTGTTTCAGGTTGCATAATCAATCACAAATTCACTGTACCTGCAGTATTACTGCCCATTTTCTTACATCTGTCTTGGCTGTCTAATTAGGCATCTTAAAGTTGGCAATGCCAAAAGCAAAATCTTCACTTCTCCCAACTTAGCCTTCCCATCTCAATAACCAGCTCCAGAAAGCCAAAAATCTAAGAATTAACTTTGATTCTTCTCTTTCCTTCACTGCTCACATTTAGTCCAAAATAGATGCCGAATCTGTAACTCAATCTCTATTACAACTATTCTAGGGTCAACCTGCCATCCCTCCCACATACATCACCATTACAGTCTCCCTGCCTCTGCTCTCACACTGCAATCCAATCTCTTCTAAAGCCTTCAAGAGTGATTTTTTTTTTTTAATTTTTTTCTTCAACGTTTTTTATTTATTTTTGGGACAGAGAGAGACAGAGCATGAACGGGGAAGGGGCAGAGAGAGAGGGAGACACAGAATGGGAAGTAGGCTCCAGGCTCTGAGCCATCAGCCCAGAGCCCGACGTGGGGCTCAAACCCACGGACCACGAGATCGTGACCTGGCTGAAGTCGGACGCTTAACCGACTGCGCCACCCAGGCGCCCCAAGAGTGATCATTTTTAAATGTAAATTCAATCAACTCATTCTCTGTTGTAACTCCTCCAAAGGTGTGCTATGGTTCTAAGAGTAAATCCCAAAAGTTTCATCCTTGAATAATACCTAACCAGACTGGCTCTGTCTGGCTCTGGCACCCCTTTCACTTAGCCCTCCGTGCACTAGCAACACTGACTTTCTTGTAGGTCCCTTATTCATAAGCCTTCCCAACCTTAGGGTCTTTGCCTTTGCTCTTTCCCAGACCTGGAATTATTTTCCCCCTACAGCTTTCCTCATCACTCAGGTCTGTTTAAATGTTACCTTCTCAGAAAGACTTCTGGGAATCTTGTCTAAAGCAGCAAACCAATCGTTATTACATCACCCTATCTTAATTCTTTACAAAGCATTTGTCAGTGATATTTTTTCTTTCATTTACTTATTTTTCTGGCTCTCCTCACAAAACATTGCTCCCACCCCACCCCTCCTCTATCCCCCAGAATCTATTTTCTGGGGAGCGATACCTTGCCAGCCTTTCCACTGCAGGATGTCTCCTAGACTGCCATAGACACTCGGGCCCCAGTACAACTATCTGGTCTGCACTGGAGGGTCCCTGGGAACGCCCCCGGCAATAAGGCCCTTCAGCTCCTGCAGCAGAGGCCACATGGCCTAGGATTCCTCTGCCAGCCACTGTTCCAATAAATCAGTCTAGAGGGAAAGAAGAACTAAGGTGAGGGAGAGTAGGGATGCGCAAAAGGTAATACGGGTAGGCCCCCATCTGTGGGAAGGTTCTCTAGGCTGCACTTGGCCTATGGAGAACAATGTCTGCTTCATGCACTTCTATATTTTAAAAGGTAAAAATATAATGTAATTATTCTTATCTTTTCTGTAGTTTAGATAAATAACTGCAGCATCACACCACTATCCTACAATTCAAGCTAAGTGCTACTTTCGCTAAACACCAAACAATCTAGCAAGATAGAGCTGACTGCCTGGGCTGATTCCCAGCTTAGCCATTAACTGGGTCATCTGTAAAATGGGATAATAATAATACCTCAGGGGTTTACTGTAAAAATTGAATATGCGAATATAAAGAAAGTTCTCAGCACAGCATCTGCCGCATAGAAATGACTAACTCTTATTGAGCATTTTAATGCCCAAAAAGAGAGCAAAAGCAGACCTTTACAATAAACATTTTGACAGTGAAATTAATTCTATGCAATCCCTTAAAAAGAATTAAAAAGTATAGGGCGCCTGGGTGGCTCAGTCGGTTAAGCGATTGACTTCGGCTCAGGTCATGATCTCACAGTTCGTGAGTTCGAGCCCCATGTCAGGCTCTGTGCTGACAGCTCAGAGCCTGGAGCCTGCTTCGGATTCTGTGTCTCCCTCTCTTTCTGCCCCTCCCCTGGCTCATGCTCTCTCTCTCAAAAACAAATAAACATAAAAAAAAACTTTTTTTAAGTGTATCAGTTTAAAAAATTTAAATCTATAACTTATCAGTCAACTTACACTTAAAGATACAAACACAAATGCAGACACATACACTTTCTTTTAAAGGCCTCTGGGTGAATCACATGAAAAAGTTTTGAGATTTTTCATGAGGGCTCTTTCTAGATCAACTTTTTTAGTGTGGCTTCCTCTTGGAAAATAATAACTAAACATTAATCTTAAAGCTAAATATTATTTTCCTGGGTTCCTAAGATATTAGGTTATAAGTTCTACAAAGACATAGGTATTATTACTGCCACAAAGTATAGACACGAGCTGCAGTACTACAACCGCTCTACTTTTGTGTATTTGCAGCTTTGTGCCTTATTTAGAAACCAAATGATGTTTGCCCTGGGCGGCACTGCCAGTGTCTCTGCCCGGCTAAGTGGAAATCCAGAAGGCAGAGTAAGCAACAGACACAGTGGAGATGCTATGCTTTCAGGAAGACATGCTGTCGCCTTGTGAGGTCTCTGGGCAAGAAGTAAATATAATTCTCAGTCAATAATTTGTGCTTCCACTTAGTCAAACTCCAGAACAGACACCCTTTAAGAATACCTTGTCTGTGATGTGCATATTTTCCCCTGGGCGTTTCCTTCCTTTTGGGAAGATTTTAAACATACACATGCCCTTCCAGAGTTTTACCAGCAGTGAGCAATCTGTTTCTCTCTGTAATAGTCTGAATTTCACAATGTTGCATTTTAATTGTGAAAGTAATTTTCCCTACTTTAAAATCAAAAGCACGAAAATAAGATTCAGCACCTTATATGTAGATCATAATGAATACCATATAGAGAAAGCAGACATTTACCTTCTTTGCATTGATTTATCAGCCTATTTTTTTTTTTTTTAATCTAAAAGGCTTTTATCTCTTAGGTGCTCCATATCCGTAAGACAAAAAGCACAATAATGGCCTATGTCCCCCCAAAAAGTACATGAATACTAAATGGATAAGGCTGGAACAGTTTGTAAAAGATCACTAAAAATAAAACTGCTATTAACAAACTGTAGGAGTATTGAAGTAACATTTTAATTTTTTGATAAAAATGCTTTGGCATCATCATAGCCCCACACAGCAACTAATGTTCAGCCCGCCCTTACTGCAGACCAGGCTCTTTGTAAAGTGCTTCTCAGGCACTCTTTCATTCTATCTCAAAGCACCCCAAACAGGCACTCTGCCCTTTTTTAAGATACTTAGGGATAAGAACTATTTAGAGAGTCAACGAGGCATTTGGAGGCAACATTTGAACCCAGAGCCTATATTCTTATCCACTAAACTTAACATCAAATTTAATTCCAAATTTGCTCCAAATTAAATTTTACACCCTGATTTTAAAGGCCTGATCTGTGAAATGGCTTATCTATAAGCATTCTGTACTCAGAACATTTTTTAATAAGAGCATGAGGGAACCACATGCACTGAGAAAAACCAATAAAATTGACTTATTTTCAACAGATATCAAGAGCATAACAGGGTACTCAAAGACCACTGCTGCTTTTTAGAAAAAAATCTAAAATGATTTCCTAAATAACTGATGACATTACCAATGTATATAATTTTTTTTAAACTGAACAAAGCCATGCATTATTTTCTTAATGGTGTTTTTTCTTTAACCTCAGAAAAGACTATCCAGTAGAAAAAAAGGAATTTTTATCTTTATAATTTAGGATATTCTTCATTTAAACAATACTTCTAATTCCCTTGTTACTTTGTAATCACCTTTTCGGTTTTATAATTTTAGATTTCCAGATTACAAAAGTATGAATAACTTTAATGCCTAGCATGATTATTGCATTTAATCCTCAGTATTACTGTGGTTATGCTTAAAATGTTAACAATAGTTCAATAGATTGTCTAGCTTTTCAACACTTAAAAAAAATTTTAATGTTTATTTATTTTCGAGAGAGAGAGCGAGAGAGAGCGCGAGCGCGCAAGCGGGGCCACTAAAGCAGGCTCCAGGCTCTGAGCTGTCAGCACAGAGGCAGACGTGGGGTTTGAACCCACAAAACATGAGATCATGACCTGAGCTGAAGTCAGACACTTAACTGACTAAGCCACCCAGGCGCCCCCATTTTTTTCCTGTATTATGCAAAGGGAAGATTAAGCCTTCAGTATATGATTATGATGACTATGTATTTTGGGACTTCACAGCAACAATTCAATGATAAGTGATCAAATCCCACAGGTCTTTCAGAAAGGCAGGACACATGCCTCTTGGGTTGTGAGTCATGGCCCTGACAAAAGCCATCCAGTCCAGCAGCAAGGTCAGGAACACATGTTCTGGCTGGACTGGCCAGATCCAGACACTAAAATCTCCTCTTCCATCCTAGACATTCCGAACACACCCAAGATGTAGATCAGACATTTTAATGCAAGCGATAAGAATGAAGGTAAAACCATCAAACAGCAACGCCAATCACGGGAGTGGATGTTGTCATACACTCTCCATGGGTGCTGCCCCAGGCTTTGAGAAAGAGGTGGGGAGCAACAAGGCAAGAGCAACCAGACAAGAGAAGCAGCAAGCCCATGTGGGCCACCAAAACCTTCTCAGGCTTCCTTTCTCTCCTCGGCTCCTGGTGATTTCTCTCCTTTCACAGCATTCACAGCACTTACCTCCTAGCTTCATTCATATTAATTTTATAGACAAAAATGCTAAGGTTTTTGATTTATGCCTGCTTTATATTCTCAAATAAGAAGGGAGTGCTATCACCATAGGCACAGCAGGTGGAATCTACTCAAATGCTTACTATGCATATAATCCTAGACAGTCTTACGGATCTATTTTTGTGTCTGTATTTTGGATCTCTAATTAAATTGTAAGTTCCTTTCTGTAAAGAATAATTCACAGGTATTTCTTCAGTCCCCCAAGTTCCTCACACAACTGCTAAAGGATACATAAATTCTCAATCCACGTATTTTGCACAGCTCCTTCTGGGAAATCCTTAGAAGTATAAGCATATCTGTTGTCCAAAACACTGGTTCTCTCAAAAAAGGCCAGTTCTAATATTAATTCCTCTGAGAAGAGCCCCCTACTCTCTCTGCCTTCCTCCCAGTGAACATCCTAGTCCTCTGTCCTGTGTTCACTTAGTACTCAGAGGACACTCACAGATACTCAGAGTGCAAAAGCTCTATATGATACTTATGCATCATCTATTTCCAATCCTACATTATGGATTCATTTTAGGCAAAAAAATTTGTCATTTTCATTTTTTTTTATTCCACTGGCACTAGAAGAGTCAATGTGATTTTTTAAATAATGAAAATAAAGACTAAATGGATATATAAGGAAAAGTAGTCAGCTATTCATGAGAATACTTCTAGAGAACCCAATGATGAATGGAAGTAGTCAAAGATTTAAAGAGCTGGGGTTTTGTTTATTTTGGTTTTTGTTTGTTTTGTTTTCTTAAAGGCAAAGCTCTTCACATTAACAAGAGACAAAGCCACAACTTCCAGCAGGGGTTAATACCAGAAGTTATACCAGTTACACCGAACATTTTTTCATGTGAGCTAGGAGCTCCAAAAGTGAGAGACAATGTAACTGCTGGTAGTTGCTATGGTAGCAAAAATAAACCTTGTACAGATATTCCAGTCATCCTTTAACTATGCTTTCTACTTGCTGGGGGTTTTCAGTGGTGTTTCAGCCCAAGAAAGGGGAAAAAAAAAAAAAAAAAAGTGCTAAGCCTTATGCTCCAGGAAGAAAATAGGAAGCCGATACATGAGCTATACTGTGGTCTTCTTTGATTAATAAATAGCTAGAGAAAATCCCCAACCCCTCCCCACAAAAGCTGGGTGGGGGTGGATTTTATCACCAGACAGGTATAAAATAGGCAGCTCAAGACACAAAGACTGAAATAAAGCAGTAACATTAAAAAAATAAATCTAGGGGTGCCTGGGTGGCTCAGTCAGTTAAGCATCTGTCTTTGGCTCAGGTCATGATCCCACAGTTTCTGAGTTCAAGCCCTGAGTAGGGTCCTGTGCTGACAGCTCAGAGCCTGGAGCCTGCTTCAGACTCTGGGTCTCCCTCTCTCCCTGCCCCTCCCTCTCTCCCTGCCCCTCCCTCTCTCCCTCTTTCTTTTTCTTTCTCTTAAAAAATAAACATTAAAAAAAATTTTTTTAAGAAAAAAATAATAATTCTTGTTAACAAGGTGACCATGCTGCATGGAGAAACGAATCAGGAATATCTGAACACATGGGTTAAAACTCCAGAGTCCCTTTACATTGCCCTATTCAACAAAGTATTTTACACACGGGAAGGGAGAGACCCATGTTAGGTAATACAGAAAATGAACTAAAATATGTAGTCCTACAATAAATATACAAAATAACATGTGTACAAAGCATCTCAGTAGTCATGCCAAATACAACAGAGAATATATATCTGGGCAGAAGTATGAAGAAAGCATCCTGGAGGAGATCAGGGGTGACATTGTCTTATGGGAAGTTGATTACAGACAATTAGATGGACTGGGAGACACATTCCTGGAAAACTGTATATATGAGCAGGGGCAGGCATAAATAGGGCTTGGAGAAGAGCAACTAGCTCAGTTTATGAGTAGTCTAGCAAGAGTGGCTCAAACAGCCAGTGATAACACTAACAAACAACAAAATGTCTCAAATCACACCACAGAGAGCCCGAATGAAGTTTGTTTCTTTTTCTTTTTAAGTTTATTTATCTTCAGGGGGAGAAGAGGGGCAGAGAGAGGGAGAGAGAGATCCCAAGCAGGCTCTGTGCTGTCAGTACATAGCTCAATGCAGGAAATCCCCAAATCCATGAGGTCATGACTTGAGCCAAAATCAAGAGTTGGACACTTAATTAATTGAGACACTCAGGTGCCCCTGAATGCAGTATATTTCTTTTTTTATTTTTTTACACATTTATTTATTTTTGATAGAGACAGAGCACAAGTGGGGAAGGGGCAGAGAGAGAAGGAAACACAAAATCCGAAGAAGACTCAAGGCTCCGAGCTGTCAGCACAGAGCCCCACAAGGGGCTCGAACTCACAAACCGCGAGATCATGACCTGAGCCGAAGTGAGACGCTTAACTGACTGAGCCACCCAGGTGCCCCTGCAGTCTATTTCTTGATTCCAGACCTCTCAGCCACAGACCCATAATTACTGTCACCAAGTAGCTTACGTGTCACTTTTCCAGGTTCTTTCTCACCAACCCCAACCCATAGTCCTTTCAATAGTAATTCTGGAATTGCTGATTCCCAAGAAGATGATGTGTATTGCCTTTTCCTCAATAATGCCATCTCCATCATGAATGCCATTCTCCTCCTGCCTCAGCAGACCAGGGAAAGGGGGTAGAGTCAGCATCCTCCAGAATCTCTTCTGCACCTTCCACAGGAATGTGTTACTGTAGTTCCTAGCAAACTCCTCTTCCTACAAGGGTCTGGCCATCTAGATATATTGCCTCTTAATCCATGCTAATCCCTTACCTCCAGGTTGCCTTCTGCAAACATTGAGGAACCTGACATCTGGCTCATACTAAACTTACTCTTCCTTGTGCTGTCACTACTCTGTAAATTTCAGTGTCCATGTTGACGGTCCATTCAACACCCTACCTAGTCCAGACTTCTTCATATCTGTACTCCACCATCACAGGACCTTGTAATTACCTGAAATTTCGCCACATCAGATATATCAAACTTTAATCCCTATCCTCTGATTATAACTTCTTACACCTTTTTGAATCTGCACCCATCCTCCATACCCCATGAACTTGACCCCTCAAATAAATACCCTAGCTTTATTTTGTTGTCATCCACCATATACTACTTGGCAAATACCTGAGTTACAATTTCAATTCCAATCTCAATTATTTTGTATCCTTTATCCTCCAGATTATTTGGCTCATAAAATACCAAATTGGAATTACTAAAATAATAATACCTTCCCTACTCCCATATGAGTCATCTAAAGAAAGTAAACCCACTGATTACAGGCTGTCTTCTTTTATTATTTAGTTTTCTAAATTTCTGTAATGAAACTAGAAATAAACTATTAAAATTTGAAAATATTTCTTTATGTGTCAGCCACCATAACAAATGCTTATCAGTTACTTCCCCCACATCCATTTCATACTTCTCACACAGTTTAGCAGTCCTGGTGATTAGTTGGGATGGAGTCCCATTAGCCAGTCACCTAAGTAGGCCCTAATTGGCCTAAAACAAGTAGCAAAATCCTACAACCATACCATTGAGATTGATAATAACTCAAAACCAAATCAATTAGAGGCTGCCATTACTTTAGCCATAGGCATTGCTATGGAGACTGTCTTACGGTTGGTCCAAAGTACAGTTCAGGAGTTTTTCTGACATTCAAGGTAAGAGACGTCTCTAAGACAGATGTGCCGATGTGACATTTCGAACCACTTCAGTCATCGTTCTATGATGTATCAGAAGGTCTGAGTTCCAACCCAACTTTCCTCTTGTTCCTCCTCCTTCACCACCCCTTCTTCCTCCACCTCCTGCTTTTAATCTAGAAAACAGCGATAATAATAGCTTCCATGGAAATTATGAAAATTACATCAGATACACGCAAACACTCTACCACTAGGTTATGTGGCCCACTGTCTCCCTCCAGTAGCACCCATCAACTGGAGAACTGAAACGGGAAATACTACAATTAGGCCGATTCAGTTCTATGGTTGGGCATGTTGAGCAAAAGTCTGTCTAGGGAAAACAGAAAGCTTGAAATTGAGCCAGCTACTGAAGAAAGTTAAAAAGACTGACCCTGGAGTTTAGACAGAACAGAGAAATAAATGCATGGAAAGTCAGAGAAGTAGAAAAATAGAGGATGTTAAAGAAATGTGAAGAGCATAACAGGTTTAACAGGAAAGGAAGGAGTTTAAGAATTTGTAGAGTGAGTGGAGTTTCTGAGTTTATTGTATCAGAGGTATGCTAATTCCATTTAGTAACAAGAGAGATGGCTTGCAGGAGTAGAGGTTTTTAATAAATAATAATAATAATAATAATAATAATAATAATAATAATAATAAAAGAACTTAGGGGCCCCTGGGTGGCTCAGTGGGTTGAGTGTCTGACTTCAGCTCAGGTCATGATCTTGGGGTTCGAGAGTTTGAGCCCGCATCAGGCTCACTGCTGTCAACACAGAGCCCACTTTGGATCCTCTGTCTCCCTCTCTCTCTGTCCGTCTCCTGGTTACGTGCATGTGTGTGCACTCTGTCTCTCAAAAATAAACATTAAAAAAATAATAAAATAAAAATAAAATTAAATTAAAAAACATTAACAAGGCACCTGGGTGGCTCAGTCAGTTAAGCTTCTGACTCTTGATTTCAGCTCAGGTCATGATCTCATGTTTGTGAGTTCAAGCTTGGCACCAGGCTCCACGCTGATAGGTGGGGCCTGCTTAGATTTCTCACTTTCCTTCTCTCTGCCCCTCCCCTGCTCACATGCATGCTCTTTCTCTCTCTGCAAGTAAAATAATAAACTTAAAAAAAAATTAAAATAGGTACAGGATGAGTCAAATACCCCATCTTTTTTTTTTTTTAATGTTTATTTATTTTTGAGACAGAGAGAGACAGAGCATGAACAGGGGAGGGGCAGAGAGACAGGGAGACACAGAATCTGAAACAGGCTCCAGGCTCTGAGCGATCAGCACAGAGCCCGATGCGGGGCTCGAACTCACAGACCGTGAGATCATGACCTGAGCCGAAGTCGGCCGCTTAACCGACTGAGCCATCCAGGTGCCCCAAATACCCCATCTTAATAGAGATTATGATGACAGGTTAGAAGGGACTGAGAAAAAACTAGGAGATGGGCAGCTACGAATGTGGTCGAAGGTGGCCAGATTGTACCAATCTCCAAGGTAGTGAGAATTCTTGATTATTTATATCATCTTTTCCAAGAGTATAGAATAATATGAAGCAAAAAAAAAAAAAAAAATCTTAAGGAAAAACCAGTATTACTATTACCTGTGCCCAGGAGAATAAGTATCTTCCAAAGGAAATGCAATACTTTTTAAGAACAAGAACAATGGGAGGCAGCAGAGGGAGGTGTAAAGTTGAATCTGTATTCTGGTACGGGTTCAGAAGATATAGCTGAATATGTAGCTAAGCCATCAATTCTCAAAAGTCTATTTTTAGCCTTGTATTATTTCTATTCAAATTTCAGAACAGGTGAAAATATAAGATTAATTTAATTACTACTTAAATATCTATCTGAAAACCTGTAATCAGCAAACCTATTTCTCACATCAAAATCTAGATTGTAATTGCAGATATTCTCTGCAATTACCCCTTTTACAGGACGTTTTCAAAAATAAGTAATAATTGAGTACAAGTGGATAATTCTCTGCTAAGATTATTACTTACTTTCCTGCTCTCAAGTTGATGGATGTTTTACACATACTGGACTGATTACATAACTCTGAACACTTCCAAAACAGCCAGCTGGGTTGGGTCTTTTTATTTTATTTTTTTCACTCTTCTGGTTTTTTTTTTTTTTTTTTTTAAGCTTATCAATTTATTTTCCCCTGCTTTTACTCAAATGCCTTGAGGGGAAACAGATGAAAAAGGTAAAAATATAAATATCACAAAAATATTAAATGCAAACACTCTTTGCAACTAAACATGAACAAAAGAGTCCTTCTTCAATTTTCCCTTAACCTTTAAAAATTGTGTGTTATATTTGCTCACTAAATATAAAAGCTTTTAGGAAAATGGAGACACTATACAAGGAACTCTGGGGGAAAAAAAAGCGTAGTTTACATAATATAGCATCCCTCAGTGAGGGAAAAGTGCTTTGGAGAACTCTCTACTTCTCTCTCAAAACCAGTTAAACTTTTGACAGTTTTAAGCACCTGACCTAAAAACAGTGCCAAAAGACAGAACACTAGCCTAGAAATTACTTGTTTTCCACACTCTGCACAACTTGAACTATTACCTTCTCATGTTCTCTCTACAGGATAACTCCCATCAGAAATCCCCAAGAAAATCAATTATCAAAATTACTTTCCATTCAGAAAAAATGCATATATATGTTTATATTATATACACACATTAGATTCCCTATATCTTATCTCTGAGAAAGTCCTCTGGAAAATATTCTTCCAGAGATATAATAGATTTAAAATACTCCCAGAGTTATATCTGTTATTTTTTTTTTTCCTGGTATTTGGGGATTAAGAATTAGAGGTTAGTTCTAGCATCCCATGTTGCACTTGCTATAACATCTAACTTCTCAAAATTAAAAAAAAAAATAGCTGCATCTATTAATCAAATATTTTAAATATTTATATATTTTATTTATTCACTAAGAAAGTCTCTAAAAGGCATGGAAAAAAAATTCTTCTCACTTACATATCTACCCACTTGAAATCAGGAAGGAAGGGTTAAAAATTCTTCCACAGTACACATGACCAGAAAGGAGAAAGGCTGAAAGTGACATTATTTTTAGATGTTAAATATATAACAGCTTTACTGAGATATAATTCACATACCATAAAATTTACTGAGTATAAAATTCAATGGGTTATAGTATATTCACAGAGTTGTGCAACTATCATATCAACGTAATCAATTTCAGAACATTTTCATCACCTCAAAAAGAACCAAAGGTGGTACTTTAACGAGGGCTGCGTGTGAGGAAAGTCAGGAAATGCGGCCATGGAAAGGAAAGCAAGGTCTCATCCATCGCCAAGATAAACGTCAAGGAGCTTACTGCCTAGGTTTTCTTTTAGCAGTTTTATGGTTTCAGGTCTTACTTTCAAGTCCTTAATCCATTTTAGGTTACTTTTTTGCATATTGTGTAAAATAGTGTCCAGTTTCATTTTTTTCCATGTAGCTGTTGTTTTCCCAACACCATTTACTGAAGAGATGGTCTCTTCCCCATTGTACACTCTTGCCTTTGTCATAGATTATTTAATAATATATGTGTGAGCTTATTTCTGGGTGCTCCATTGTGTTTCCATGGACCCATGTGTTTTTCTGCCAAGACCATACTGTTTTTATTACAGTATCTTTGTAGAACAGTTTGAAATCAGGGAGTATGATAAATTCAGCTTTTTCTTTCTCAAGATTGTTTTGGCTATTTAAGGCATTTTGTGGTTCTATACAAATTTTAGGATTATTTGAGTTCTGTGAAAAACGCTGTTGGTATTTTGATAGGTTTTGCATTCAACCTGTAGATTGTTTTGGATGGTATGGGCATTCTAACAAAATAAATTCTAACCCAGTAGCACAATATATCTTTCCATTTGTCTCTTCAATTTCTTACACTGATGTCTTATAATTTTCAGAGTACAAGTATTTCACCTCCTTGGTTAAATTTATTCCTATGTACTTCATTTTTTTAATGCAATTGTAAATGGAATTGTTTTAATTTTTCTTTCAGCTAGTTCGCATTAGTGTGTAGAAATTTAACAGATTTCTGTATGTTAGTTTTGTATCCGACAACTTACTGAATTTATTAATTCTAACCATTTTTGATGAAGTCTTTAAGGTTTTCTACATAACACATTGTCCGTAAATAGTGACATTTTTACTTCTTTCTTTGCAATTTGGATGACTTTTATTTC